ACCTGACCCACAGCTTCATGGCTCTGCCGGTGCCCTTCACTCCTGACCCACAGTCCTCCTTCCAGCTGTGCTGGTGCCCCTCACTCCTGGCCTGCTGCCCCCTGCCCCCAGCCCCTCTTTGTATGAGGTAGGGAGTGGGTGTGTAGGAAAGGTGTGGAGGACAGGCTGTGCGGTGGGGGGGAACATGACCACCGAGATTTCTGCACCCGCAGCGAGTGTAGGGTTGCATTCAGACTGGATCAGCTCCAAGCAAGAGCTGCTTCCACAGCCCAGAGGGTAGGACTCGGTGCTGGAGGTGAGGTGCATAAGTGGCAGCGATGGTTGTGCGAAATTGCCCCTCACTGCTGCCAAGTGGGCAAGCGGAGCCTTTCTTTGGCAGCCGTGGCCGTGGAGGCAGCTCCTGTCTAGAGCTGGTCCGGCCAGGCTGCAGCCTCACACCCCACTGTGGGTGCAGAAATCTTGTGGGGAGGGGGTGCCAGTGCCCATGCCCTTTCCTCTCCTCTCCTCTTCTTGTGTGGCCTGTGCCCCTTGCCCCCTCCCCACCCCCCCATAGACATAGCTCTCCACTGTTGCCTGGCTGCCACGTGGATGTGCACATGGTGCCCCCCTGCCTCTGATCGCTCTCCTCGAGCTCCCTGCAGCCCCTTGCAGGCTAGAACTTGGCCAGCCTGCAAAGGGAAACCTGTGGTTTCCTGCATTTTTCTCCTTTAAGGGAGAAATCCACAATTTTCTCCTTTAAAAGAGAAAATTCATATTTTTCTCCGTTGAAGGAGAAAATTCGTGTTTTTCCGTAGTGAACTAAAAATCCGGATCCCAGCTGATGACATGCTGTGGTTACATGCTGTGATGTATTGTGCCTCTCTTTATTATTATGAAGAACAGGTGAGATGGCGCTTGGGTTTTGTCTATTTTATTGCTGGTGTGGTGGTTGTAGAAACTAGTTTTAAATGAACTGGCTTAGTTCTTGGTAGCAGGCTAACGGTGGCAGCACAAAGCTCAGTATGGCCTGCAAAAGATGTTTTAGGAGCCTGGTAAATACTTGATCCATTAGCTTTCTCTGAACTCTGTGCTGCTACTGGTAGACTGCTACCGGTACCTGAGCTAGCAAGCTGAAATTACCTTGGGGATGTATACGTTACAGAAGGCATAACCTATAAAAAAGTCTGGAGTCATAAAAAATCATAGAGAAGTCTGCTTTGCCCTGCCTTAAGCATTAATTATGCAGTGGTTCAAGGACACGAAGTTAAGCTCCATTTGGTAAAATGTTCCAAACACTTTTTTCTGTTTGTATTTTTTTGTTTTGTTTTTATTTTTTCTGAACAGCTGACATTCGTTGCTTTTTGGATGAAAATGAATTTAGGGGCATGTAAAAAGAAAAAAAACCCCATGGTGCATTAAGAACGCTTTTGATTGTTGGTTTCTTTGAAGAAACTTGTATCTACTGGGTTTGCACAATTGGTTCTAAACGAGATGTGAACATACATAGGTGTCTCTGAGCAAGGACTGTTTCAAGTTTGGCCCAGCCTTGATAATAACCTGTGAGATTTACTGATTATATACAAGCAGGTGTGAACGAATGATGACTGCAATATATAGTGCAGAGCAAATTTAAACGTACCTTGGGTACGGCAGGAAATCTTGATTTGACTCCAGATATACTTTGACATGATCTTATCTCCCCAGCAGCTTATCAGTGGTCAGTCAATGCGAAGTATTTCTGAGATTTGTTAAACTATATCCAAGTTGGATGTATTTAAATTTAATGGTTACAGTAGGAAGATATTTAACTTTACATTTGCACATTTTAACTTTCATTCTAGGAAAAGTCTACATGAGACTTGGACATTTTTTAAGTGGTAGCAATATAACTTTAAATTGAATCCCATATACCTAAAGTTTAAGTTCATGAAGACTGGGATAGAATTAATGTTATCCCTCTCTATGCTGTGTTCATTATCTCCAGACAGTACATTTTGATGACATATTCTTAATTGTTTTTCATATGGCTCGTGGATTTTTTTTAATACACCTAACAATTTTTATTTACATATTAAGCATGCAGCATGTTCAAGCCATCTGAGGCACTGATGGATGGGTCTGGAAAGAGAGGACTTACTTTATTTATCCATATCTCAGCTTGGTGCCTCTAGATGTTTTTGTTTTAGTTGCAGATCAAGTTCTTTTCCCACCTATTTGGGAATTGCTTTATTTCTGCATTTTTGGTTTTTTTTGCAACTCCCTTTTTGCTGTCTTAGCATATTCTTGGCTACTTCATTTAAGATGAATATGAATGAACTCCAGTACATTCCTCTTTCTGTTATTACAGGGTTTTGTGAGAAATACACAGATGAACATAAATGGAGAAGCAAGCTATTCTTGTTTCATTTAACAAGTCAAATCACAATTTTTCTTGCTATTGATTATTCAACAGTCAAGCAGTTCAACACTTTGCAAGTGTGAATACTTGTTACAGATGTCATGGAGTTCATTGCTTTATAAAAAATTGTCTACGTGATGAGTAGATTACTCAAAGATTGGTATAGACCCAAGGGACATGCCACTTCTAGACTGGAACTGAAGTAGTAAGCTAGGTCTCTGATGTCAGAAAGCTGTTACTATCTGATTGTACTTTGATCACTGTGACCAGTGAGCTGCTGATCTTCGTTAAAGTTCATGTGGTCATGCATCCACAGCACAAAAACTTTTGCAATTAGCACTAATTGGCATCTTGGTTTGCAATTTGCAGCAGTCTGGACATGGAGACTGACTTTGTTTCTGTTCATTTTCAGGCTAGTGGTTACACAGGTTGTTAGGTACTTGCTGTGCCACTCTTCAGTGCTGCATTAGATTTGAAATGTTTTAAATTTTCAGCATTTTGGGCATCTATACACGTGCTCCGGAGTTGAGGGGGCGCTTTAATTAGAGTGGGTCTCAGAGCAGCTCTAATTATAGTGCCCACAGTGTCTCGTGTATTCAGCATCCCACGCTTCAGAATGGCCACAGGGATGCCCCGCCACCATTTTGAAATGCAGGGACGCTGAATACATATGACGTGAAGGCTGCCGGAGGGGCTAATTAGCACACTCCAGCAGACTTGCAGCAGACTCTATTAATTGAGTCTTCTGAAGCATGCTAATTAAAACATGTCAGAGCAGAGTTCTGTCGTGTGTATAGGTGCCCTTTATTTGGCACCTATACACCTACATTCTCAAGTACTGAAACCATGTAGTTAGTTTTGATGATGCAGGATGGTAGGTGAAAATGCATGCAAAATTAAAATTAAGAATTTAGAATTATTTGGAATTTTCTCAGTTGCGTTAAACCAGTGGGATTTTAGTAGGGTCCTGAACAGCCAGAACAGTATAATACAACCATGTAGTGGTTTAGGCATCCTTCAAATTTGAAAACTTTTAAGAAAACAAGAGCTTGGTATGTTGTAACATTTCCCCTCTCTTATATATTGTCTGTCCTCTCTTTGGCATGAGTGTCTTGAGACACAAAACTAACCAGTATCTGTATTTGGAGGTTTAGGTCCAAAATGTTGGTTGGTTAGTTAACTATGTAACTTGTTATCCTGACTCCTCAAAGCAGTCTTATTTGATGCCAAGAATAAAATTTCTTATGCTGTACCTCCTCTAGTAATTTTTGATGTAGAATTTCCTCTCCTTTGAGTGTGTCTACACATCACCATGTTTTAGTACTTCCTCTTGGAAGTACTAAAACACGGTGCAGTATGGACGATTACTGTGCAATGTGGGCAGCGCACACTTAGATTTCCCCACTACGTTGCTGTAGCTGGTGATCATGTGTAGACCCACATGATCGCTACGTTGCCATAGCATGCCATACAGTGACATAGCACATTGCTTGGGAAGAAAAACCAGCAGCATCCCTATAGGCTTGGCAGTGCTATGCTGGCTAGCACTACAGATGAAAGGGACTTGGGGGTCATCATCACAAGATGAATGCGAGCCTTCAGTGTGATGCTGTGACTAGTAAAGCAAGCAAAACGCTGGCTTGCATCCATTGATGCTTCTCAAGCAAATCCCGGGACGTCATTCTCCCCTTGTACTCGGCCTTGGTGAGGCCGCAGCTGGAGTACTGCGTCCAGTTTTGGGCTCCACAATTCAAAAAGGATGCGGAGAAACTTGAGAGAGTCCAGAGAAGAGCCACGTGCATGATTAAAGGTCAGGAAAACAGACCTTACGATGACAGGCTGAGAGCCATGGGACTCTTCAGCCTGGAAAAGTGCAGGCTCAGGGGCGATCTGATGGCCACCTATAAGTTTATAAAGGGTGTCCACCAGAATCCGGGGGAACGATTGTTCACCAGAGTGCCCCATGGGATGATGAGGTTGAACGGTTATAAACTACTGCAAGACCATTTCAAGCTGGACATGAGAGAGAATTTCTTTACTGTCCGAGGCTCCAAGGTCTGGAATAGCCTGCCATCGGAGGTGGTTCAAGCACCTACTTTGAATGCCTTCAAGAGAAATTTGGATGTTTATCTTGCTGGGATCCCTGCTGACTTCCTGCCCTTGGGTCAGGGGCCTGGACTCGATCTTCTGAGGTCCCTTCCAGCCCTAATGTCTATGAAATCTATGCTACTTCTCTGCAGGGCAATGCGTAGACATGCCCTTTGCACAGCTATTTCTGCCTTGTGTTAATAACCCTTTAAAAATGTGTTAAGTAGAAACTATGAAACTATATAGGTAGAGTACCAACTTGCCATTTAATGGCTATTTTTCTCTTTGAATGCATGTTCTACATAAACCCCTGAAAATGTAGATGAAAGTCGGCACTTTTAACATGTTTGACAATCAGAAGTCAGTTCAATAAAGTAACTTTTCTACAAGAAAGTACTAGTTGATGCTCTGTTATGTAAATGAAGTAATACTTAAGGGGTTTGGTATATTTTGAGAGCTTCAGAACAATTTTTGCTTCTTGGCAATTGACTTTGAACTCTTCTTTTAGATTCATGTTTCTTTTGTCTTTTTGTAGAATGTGGTTCTTTCAGGAGGATCTACAATGTTCAGGGACTTTGGACGTCGACTACAGAGGGACTTGAAAAGAGTAGTGGATGCAAGATTGAGACTTAGTGAAGAACTCAGTGGTGGTCGGATAAAGGTAGGCAAGAATCTGAAATGCTATCAGTTATGTAAACAACTGAAGTGAGTGCAAATACCCGAAAGCAACTACCAGACAAATTGGTGGGAGACTTAATTTCTGCATAACACTGGACAAGTAAGAGTAAGAAGTAGAGTTTAACATCTGCAGTAACGAAGGATGAGAGAAAGGTAGGTAGCCTTGTTAGTTTGAGGTCAGGCAGAAGGCAAGTGTAGAGATGCACCTTACGGAGTTAAAGAATTGGTGAATGATGTTCCTGTTTATACCAGTGGTACCAAACTTTGGATCCTGTGGGTCTGTGGGTCAGATCTGGCATGTGCAGGGCTGGGGCCTGATCTGGTGTGCGCTGGATTGGTTCCTGACCCTGCATATGCTGGATTGGGTCTGCTGCCCCAGTCCTGCACACACCAGTCAGATCCCTGCATGGGGCCATTTCATTTGGCTTGTGGGGCTTGGAAATGTGGGGAGCAGAGGCAGTGTTAACTACCACCACTTCTCTGCTGCCAAATTTCCAGACTCTTGGGGAGCCCCTGTGGGCTGGGTCACTTGGCTCCACAGGCCAGATATGGCCCAAGGACTGGGGTTTGAGCACTCAGTATGTGGGTAGCCTTATACTTCATTGTACAGCCCCAAAAGATCATATTGCATTATATGAGACCTGTGTTTGAAATGGAATCAAGGGCACTTTTCTCTTTGAAATTGAAATTCGATAGAGAGTGATGGTAAAGCTGCATTTACTGGTGGACAGAGATGCATCATCAGCTTTCCTGCAGCTTTCTTTAGTATATGGCATAAGTGGGCATACATTCCCCTCCTATTGCCACATTAGGGTTTTTTTCCCACCTCCTGCAGAATCATTGGGTTTTTTCTGGGATGTGCCAGTGCTCCACTTGGAACTAAAACCCAAAGGTTCCTAGCTAGAGGGTCTAAGCCTTCTGCACAGAGTAAGACCTATTTCTATATTTGGAGTCAGGAAGGTTATTTTATCTCATGGTCAGATTGGTATGGACTGTTGAGGGTTTTGCCTCCTGTAGAGGGAGGGCATGGCCTTCTTTTCTGGATCTTGAGCATATTTTAATGACCCTCACAGGAGCAGGACACTGGTTGCTATTGTCCCCATGCTTTACTCGTGTCATGTGTATGGTGTTATACCTTGTGGTCATGTAATGGTTGGCTGTAATTTTACCAAAAGGCTAGACACTAGATTTGTTTATGATAGTTTGAATGGAGATGATCCTGCCTCAGGCAAGGGTTTGGACTAGCCGACCTCCATAACTATACTAGGAGGAGCTCTGTTGGATTGACAAGCCCTTAGTGTAGGCAGAGGAATGCACAGGAGCATCCTGTCCTGACTAAAAACGTGTGCACTGCTGATCCTGGGTAGCCAAGTAATAAAATCATATGACTGACTGACTAAACTTGTTCTGTCTTTACTTTCTAGCCCAAACCAGTTGAAGTTCAAGTGATAACACACCATATGCAGCGTTATGCAGTTTGGTTTGGAGGTTCCATGCTTGCTTCAACAGTATGTCTTTATCAGCTTCTTTCTGAATTTCCTTCCCTATGTATTTTCTAGTGCTGGTCATCTTTGATCAGTGTTATTAGGTTTAAAATGCTTTTCACTTTAACATCCAAAATAATGTGTGTTGTACTAGAACATTATCGATTTAGCCAAATCCTGGAAACTTTTTTCAGTTTTTATTTGAGCAAAACTTCTATTGAATTTATGGGAGCTCTGCTTGAGTAAGGACTATAAGGCTTGATCTATTTGCATGTGGTTGTGTAGTTGACAACTTAAATATAGGATCTTCCACATTACTAAGGTCAGTGCTCTAAGAATAGTAAAGACTCTATGAACACAAAGCCTCATTTTTAGTTTCTTAATCCTGAGAGAGAAAATACAAGAAAATTGGGCATTTTTCATTGCTCCAAACTGTGGGCTTTTTTACTGCAGTGCCTGCAGATCAATTATTTGGAGAAGACTGCCATCCATTAACTCTTATTTTATGCTTTAAAAGGCATAAGGGCATATTGTAACGCTGTACTCCAGGAGAACAGTTTCACAGATGATTTCATTGGTTTATGTATGTGGTTTTTTGGGTACATTTTTATGCACTTGTATGTTCTTGATTTATTTTTATTTGTTCTTAGCCAGAGTTTTTTCAAGTATGTCACACCAAGAAAGACTATGAAGAATATGGCCCTAGTATTTGTCGTCATAATCCTGTTTTTGGAGTCATGTCATAATGCTTGTCTAATGGAAGTAGCGATTCATATATCTTGCTGGTGGAGAAACTCCTGAAATGGAAGAAGACGACAGTTATTGTAAATACTGAAGCAAGATGTGGATGTTCATCTCCTGGGAACATTTGGGTCACCATAGTGCACTACAACACTGCATACAGCCCAGATTCATTTCATTAAAAGCCATTTCTGTGCTGACTACTTCAAAGCCTATTCCTCTTTCTTCCTAAATGTGAGCTTCTAGGTAGTAGGCCAGTCTCTGTTTAGGAGACTGTGCAAACACGACTGAGGTCAAGTCTAGAAGATTATGGCGTTGTTTTACTGCCTTGGGAAAAGTAAAAAGCGTTTAAGCCTTTTCCACCTGGGCTTTGTTCCTGCAATTGAATCTTTATGGCCAGATCTTTGTGCCTGTGTGGAGCCCCATTGATTTTAGTGGGAGTCAGAATGGATTTAAGTGTCTGCTCACAGTTCACATTGCAGGATCAGAGCCTTACTTTATAAATGGATGGTTTTTCATATTATTTTATATTTTATGATATTGGTAAGTTTGACTGGTTCTAAGCATGAACAGCTATCAGTATCATGGAGTGATGTGACAAGTTTCCAGGTGTGAGGCATATATTGAAGTTGTACAGGTGTGTCTTGCTGACCAAAATAAAAAGCCATGTGTGCTAGAAAATGGTTTGTTTTTGTTTGAGTGACATGAACTTTAAGCAACTTACAGTGTTGTGTGAGGCTTATACAGCCTATTTTACTTTTTGTTATGTTTGAATTTTTTTGACGGTGTTTTATAGAAGATGACATTTTGTTTTGGTGTTGGTGAGTGGTGGATGAAACGCTGCCTTGCACCAGTGAAATAAACTGTTGACATCTTTACAAATGTTGTAGTCTTGGTTTACAAATTCCTTTCTCCATATTTTGTTTGCCAAGAAAATGCATGTATTTACATACATGATGAGCACAGAGTAAGCTTTAGATTCAGCGGTGTAATTTTAAATCACTTCCACTTTAAATGCATCTAGAAGGATGACGTGTTACCAATTTATGGTCTCAAGAATTTAGCAAAGAATCCCACTCCAGTCAATTGAGGTCACCTCTTTATCAAGTAAATGGATCATCTTGGGAATAATACTCAAACAACAATGTCAACAACTCTGAACTCTCAAAGAAAAATTGGAAGAAATAAAGGTTGGAGGTAAAAACCCTCTACTAAGGCAGCCTTACTTCCTTCTAGCTCCCACATGTGAGATGGAGAGCTTTTAGCAAAAGCTCTTCAACTGGACTCTTCTGTAATAGACTGTGAAGACAGAGGTGGATGCTTTGACCCAGATGCACAGGGCCACTGTGCTTAGCATTGCAATACTTAGTTTTTTAGAAGCTGAATCTAGAACTCTGCATTTCAGATCTTGGTTTCCCATACAATACATGAAGAGAATTAGGCACTTCACAGTGGGATGCACAGTGCCCAGCCTGCTGTGTTGAGTCATCCACAACTAGCCAATGAAGAAATGCTGAGGAGAGGGGGGTGTCTTTGGGGTGACCTAAACAGCACTAGTGAGGGGATGCCACTTCCTCCTTCAGATTTACAACCTCCAGTTCTCTCCTAAATGCACATAGGCCCTTTCTTTCAAAGATAGGGTGGGGGTCCTCCTTTCCTCTTGAACCAGAGAAACAGATAGTTTTGGAGCTGATCCCATACCACTGAGCTTTTGTGTATAGAGCATTCGCTTCTCATATGGGAGGTGTAGGGTCAGTGCCCTCTTTAACAAGAAGGGGTTCAGGCTATCTCCTAAGACATTGCCTTTACCATCAGGCTATTATAGGCTGGGCTGGGTTGTTGTGAGCACCCTCTGTCCCTTCTCTTGAAGCTGGGCTGCTATGCAGAATTAAAATCAAGTTTCACTGAGGTATAGAGGAAGGTGTTGCAGGAGTGAGCATGACAATAACCTATTGTCATGCTTAGTGCAGTCACCTGAGAATGGACAGCCCTGTATTTGAATCCCTCAGGCAGACGAGGCATTTGAACACAGTTCTCCCATACATGAGAGAGTGCTTTAACCACTGAGCAATTATATAAAGGGGGAGTCTCACAAGATGGCGTTGATCACTTCATGTAAAAGGAAGTTGCAGTTGCCTTATAGAACCTGATCTGTAAGGCATCATGAGAGCACCTTGCTCAGGAAAGCAATATGGAAGCATGATAGTTTCTGGCTGCTCGATAAGCCTGCATGCCAAGTAGCTCAGCCCTCTCGGGCAAGCCCAGAAATGGAAGTTTAAGTGCCTCAAACTGAGGCACCTGTGGAGTTGAGTAGCTTCAGTGGCAGCTGAGCAGGGATGTTGTACATTACAGTTTGGGTTTAGGAGCATAAATTCCACTTAAGTCCCTCTTTTGGATCTGGCCCTTAATCTTAGTTAAGTGCTCCAATTGGCCAGATTGGTGATCCTGAACATAGGAAGCATATAGAACTTTATGGAGTAGAGTCAGTGTTGGCAATTACTTAAAGTAGCTAGACCATTTAATTAACACTAGGCATTGGGTTTGTTATTTTACAAGTCATTTGATTCTTTTTAATTAACGTGCAGCTGCATCTGCAAGAGTTCAGCCTGCGTATTTTTCCTGTTTAGCAGGATGGAAAATTCCTTAAGGTACCAGTTATTTTGGAGCCTTGTAGTCAAGGTAATGACAAGTTCTAGCTGCTATTGAGACAAAGTTACATGGTATTGAATGGAAGGGGGAAAATAATTAGGAAAGGGTATCTGGCCAGTTGAGCAAGTTGTACATGTGTCTGTGTGAGAGAGAACTCGTAGTAAAAGGGGGAAAAATAGGTCATCAGTCCAGAGACTGAAGTTCGTTTACCACAGAAAGAAGATGAAAAATAACCACTTTGCAAACACTGTCCCTACCATGTCTCAGCTCTGAACTAGAGAGAAATCTCCTTAATAAATCATACCTGTTCCTTCCCTAACTTGCTGTATCAAAAATTAAAACTAATGCTGGTCTATCCAGAAGTTGCCATGTGGTCGAGCGTGCAGAGAACTGGGACTTCGGAGACCTGGGTTCTATTTTTGCCTTTGCCACTGGCCCAGTGGGTGATTGAAGGTAAGTCGCTTCACCTTTCTGTGCCTCAGTTTCCTCCCTCTAATATGGAGAGAACAACGCTTGTGTTTTATACAGTACTTTGAGGTCTATTAATGAAAAGTGCTATGTTAAGATAGGTGGTATTTAAACCAGTGCAGCTTTGTATAGCAACACCACTTGTTCAAGCCAGGCTCCTATAAGAAATTTGTTTTGATCTGTTCAGGTCTAGTGAAGGTGCAAATTTGGGTTTGTCATCTAGTCACATGGCTGCCAGTCCATTTCATGTTGGCCACCAAAGAATTCAGTTGTATCCCAACTACGCAGTTAGCCCAATAAAAAGTGTTACCCACAAAAATTGTTGCCTCTTGGATATTTCCTGAACCAGGATTTTTAGAAGAGCACTTCAGCATTACCAAAATATGGTATATCTTTTAGTCTTTAGCTCCAGATGCATTCAAGCCAATGCTGTAAAGGTTAAAGACTACATCCTGAATTGCCAATATCCTGAGCCCTTCTCCCTTTTCAATAGCAAGTGTTTAATAGCACTCAGTTTTTTATAAACATAAAGAATAGTGTGCATATGTGGAGCTTTCAATTAAACACAATTAGTGAGAACTTGACATGACCTAAAGTACTGATCTCTTTGTAAATAATTCATTCATTATGATTGCAGTTTTCTCTGACATCTGGAACAAATATGCTTTTGACAAACAAGTGTCTGAGATGGATCGAGAGAGATGCTCATTTAAAACCACCAGAGATTTCTGATAGGAATACAAAACCTCCTGCTTAATTGAAGAGCATTATGTAATGAAAGAAAAAAATGGACAGGGACAGTCATAGTGATTGTAAATTAAGGCTCTGGGATAGAATGATGTAATTGGCTGTGGTTGAATTTTGATAATGGTATTTTTAAAAGGGAGGGGGAGAACTGCAACTTGAAGTATTTGCATATTTTAAAAAGGTTTTATGTTTCCTCTCCCTTTCTAATGGCAGACTGAAAGCTTATGATATTTGGTTGAGACTTACTTTAGAAGTAACAACTGCTGTCCTTTTGAAACTGCTCCGGATGTATGCATGAGATCTAAACCTAATGTTTCAGACGTAGCAATGTCCTTCCAAAATGGCTTCAGAGAGCATAAAAATTCCTCACTGGCTTCAGGGGCCTCTCAGTTGGGCTTATAACATCCTTGATTGTTTCCCAGTTGTCATTTTTGTATACTCGACACTGACATCCTGCGCGATCCTGGTGAAGATGCTTCACCTCTGATGCTTGTTTCCTTACCTCATTTCTATTTACCTTGTGAACATTGTGGGTGGAAGGATTGTCTATTGCCTCTGAGTGTTTGTACAATGCATAGCATTACTGGCCTCTGTTCTTGTCTGTGAGCTACAATAGTACACTTAACCATAATGTGACAGGTCAGAGAGCTGGCTGGAGCTGTAGCAGGGTTCATGGAAGAAAGAATGATAATGTATTTAAATTGCTGCATTTCATCTGTGACTTTTCAAGGACAAGTATATTTTATTGCTTTCCTTCAACAAGGAGTAAAGATGTGCAGTCTTCATAACTGATATTTTGTATTGTAGCTCTCTGAGTTCAGTAGTTTTTGGTCATACATTACTACTGTTTTTGTTAAGCATTTCAACCCGAGTCCTCTAAGAGGTAGTTGATCCACACACAAATTAAACGTGTGTTGGTATAGTCAATGTGGCATACTGCAAAAAATGCCAGATGCCCAGCCACAAACCATAATGTATTATTTCACACTTAGAAAATAGGTAACGCTGTAGGTGAGTTTTGGGGTTTTTTCCCTTTCTAGTGGACATTGACTTTCACCAGAAGGAAAATTCACCCCCTTGCCACCAGTGTAGTAGCATGAGCATGGTTTTCAAAGAACAATTGTGTGTGACAACATTCTCCATCCAATCAGAAGAAAGCCTTCAAATTGAGTCTAGGAACCTGAATATGCTACCTTCAGTTATTATAGTAATAAAAGCCAAGATGAATCAAAAGGTATGTGCTCTCCTACAAATAAAACTTGGCAGAATTAAGGTGTGGGTTATGATTCTTGCAGTATTCAAATGATACTGTAACCTGTTAACATTGCAGTGTACATCATGATAACAGCTGGATGGAACAGGAGACCAAGAGGTACCTGCTACTTTAAGGGAAAAGCAGCAGCAGAGGGTTCCCCAGGTGGAGGGAATCTGCCCTTGATGAGCTGGCTGCAGGGGAATAGGCAACCAGGGGCCAGAGGCTATTGCAGGGCTAGGTGCTCTGCAATAGGACAGTAGGGCAGAGTCCTGCTTGGGCTACAACAGCTAGCTCAGCAGGGGTGAGCGGTCTTGGAGACCAGTCATCAAGCCTAATTGGAAATTCCTGCAAGTGACTAGGAGGACACCTGGCCAGAAAAGGCAGGCATTAACAGGCATATAAGCCCAGGGCCTGAGCAAAGGGGTAGGCTAGCCATGCTAGTGGTGGGGTGAAAAGCTCCTGGGAGGGCAGGGAGCTACCTGGGGGACCCTAAACCAGTGTGGGACAGAGAATGGTGAGAGCCCAGGGATGAGGGCTGGGTTGGTGTTTGTTTGTCTACGCCCGGGGGAGGGAGGGAAGCCTTCCTTTTAAAGTATATGCATGCTGTTTTCCTTTATGATGTTTGTTTGCCCAGAAGATTTACGTTAAGCAGTTGCTTGCAACTTGCATTAAAGTTAAACTGGTGGTCTGAATTGGGCCTATGGGGGTGGAGGAGAGTCCCAGTGGTGTCTGAGGGGTGGATGACTGCTTTGAGCCCTG